CAGCCTAAGAACTACATTTTGCAGACTATTACAGATAAATTCCTTTAAGATCCACTGAATTGAAAATAAGCTGTCACAGATTTTAAAATTTTATAAACATTTTACTATGCCTAACATCCTAACAAAGTAGACATTCATCCCCTTATCATGGTTAATAAAATAAAACAGGATGACGATGTCAGGATACAGCAAGTTAGATGTCACAGCAGAGGATTAAAATCATTTTGAGTCCATAATTTGACTGATCATAATCTAATGGAATGAAACAAATAGCTTGAAATGATTAATCGTACAACACATATCTTTGTATTCTGCACAAACATAACATTAATTAATGTCATGGCAGTGTGGTCAGAAATACACGCTGACTGCCATACTTCTGGTGAAAGAGTCCCCATTGGGAGGATCCTTGGTGACCTCTGAGCCTCTGTGGACATAATAGTAATGAAAAGAGAAGTCCTTGCCCCTTCATGGAATTAAAGCACCATCATCTGGTTCACAGCCAGTCACTCTACTGGCTAAGCTTTGCAGCTCATTCCCTCTCAGTACTAAACTCAGTTTACCTGCTATGGTTATTATAAAACTTGGTGTCTACACGTTTGCTTTCTGTTCATTGCAAACAGTGACAGAATTACAGAATTATAAATCCCACCAATGATATAGAGTTCAACCTCAACTTACAAATAGCTTATGTTCCAAAATTCCTTTCATCAGTTGAGTCATTCTGAAGTTGAGACAATACACCTCTTAAGAAATAATTCAATTAGCAGTAGTTGGGTACCCAAGTTTATGAAATAGTCTATTAAACCTATAATATTACATGCAGTTTACTTTGTAAATGAATATTAAAGAGCACATTATACATCCACAGACAAGCAGAGACAACTGAATAAATCAGAATAAAAATGAACAGTTACAATTTATTTACCTTAGCTACAGTTGGACAGTTGGACGTGAGTATGGGTGACTTTAATGATAAGAGGAGGAATGGAGAGCAGATCTCTCAGAGAACTCCTCACTGTCAACAAATGGTAGGGTACCATCAGAGCAGCTGTTGCAACAGCAACTTCAGTGGCCGAGGTAGATGACAAAGGTTCTATTTATGTCGTGTGATATAAGGCATNGAACTTCAGTGGCCGAGGTAGATGGAGAAGAAGAGGTAGATGACAAAGGTTCTATTTATGTCGTGTGATATAAGGCATTAAAGAAGTGTGCACAGCAGACTTCTTTTCCTTCCATGATATATTTCCTTATAACATTGCACGGCAGCTGATATAGCCCTGGAAACTCATGCATATCATGAAGTGTTTGGATCCTGCTTTTCAAAGAGCTCAAGTGCATAATCAAATTTGTTCAGTGCCTCTGCCAATAATCTAATGCCAAAATTTTCTTCTGGAATCTTAGGCCTGTCCTCTGCAACTTCTTCATCTTATATCCTCTGATTCTCACTTTCAAGCTTAATACAACCATCACTGGTAAGAAATGCAACATAAGAATTTTGTAAATCAGTAGCATTATCATCCTCTATTTCTAGATTTAACTGGGTTCCTATACCAAGAGTGACTTTTTCAGAACCCCCCACCCAAGAAAATGACAAATGGTACATGCACTTTTGAAGTGAAACTCATTGTACTGTTCACCTTTTGGATCCATGTCCACTGTTCAAGACTGAATGATAAATTTTAAATGTTAAAATCCTTCCTGAAATCCTACAGGGTTTAAGGCTTGTCCTTTTCTGTGGATTCCATGCTTCAGAGAAGGTCCTATGAGTGTATAAGGGTTTAAATGAGCATATGAAACCCTCATCTGGGGGCTGTAATAAAGAAGTTGGGTGTGGAGGAATACATACAATTTTAATATGAGGATGAAAATCATGTAAATGTTGTGGATGTTCAGGAGCATTGCCATGCAATAGCAAAATTTTAAATAGAATCCCCTTCTTTGCACAAAAAATCTTCACTTGAGACACAAAGGGTTCGAGGAACAAGTTTTTGAAAACCTCTAGTTACCCAAGCCTTTTGTATGCCATCCAAGTCACTGGTAAAGATGCTTTATTTACATTTTTAATTGCCCTAGAGTTTTCAGAATGATCAATAAGCAGCAGTATGAGCCTGAAATCCCTTGCTGGATTATAACCCAGTACAGGGTTCAAGATGTCAGTCCTTAGCAGCTTTAAATCCATGATTTTTTCAGTTTTGGAAATGTAGATTCTTTCTGGCACTTCTTTCCAAAAACAATGTCATGTTTCCTCATCGTTGAAAGTTTGATAAGGCATGTATTCCTCTACTATAAAATGTTGTCAAATGTTATAACAAAATTTTCTGCTGCTATTTAATGAGCACCAGCTACCTCACTGTTCACTTTTACGTTATGTAAATGTGTGCCTAGTCTAAATTGCATAAACCACAAATGACTTGCATGGAAAGGCAGTGCATCATCTCAAAATTAAGCTGCTCTGAAATATTCATACAGACTCACAGCTGTCTCTCGAATAACGGTTGGGGTCAGAGTGATGCACCTTTGTACTGATCCTCCATTTCCCAACAGCACTACTTCTCTTTTGAGAAATTACTGCTGATTGCAATGGTATAGAAGCTTTTACATGTCCTTTGTCCTTAATAATTATTCCAGTTGTCAACGATTCAGACCAAGAGCACTGCCAGTGTGGAACCTTCTTCATGCTCTTTTATTATGTCCACTTCCTTATCAAAGGTTACTGCTCATATTTTTTTAGGGTTTAGCACCCCATTATCACTTTTCCATTTCTCAGCATTTTTAAGGGCTATTAAGATTCAAAATAATGTTTGACGTAAGTCAGACACAAACAATCACATGCTGCCACTGAGTGGCCATCTCACTGTAGTCTTTCGGTTTCAACCACATCAGTGTACCTCAGTGGATGACTTATTCCACTTGTAGCTCTGAAACGCTTCCCTCCGTCATGCTAGGCAGTGAGCCTCAGTTCACTGTTTGTATATTCCTAGTATGTTCCCCATACTGACATTAAAATTTTAATTATTCATTATGGGAATAAGTTCTTATACATTTGATTTGTTTCATCCTGGTCCATCACACTAACAATATTATAAAAGGCTAATTAATTCTGTCCAGTGTGACTGATGAAGTTTTTTCTCCTATTTAATATTTTATCCTTAACATGTTTCGGTCTTATAGACCATCTTCAGAAGGATATCAATACAACTAGAAACCACTATTACAGTATATTTTGTGAGTGTTAATATATATATACAATGGCATCATAATGGGCACACGGTAGCGTAGCTGCTTGAGGCACTATGCTACAAGCCAGAAGGTTGTGGGTTCAAGTCCCGATGAGGTCATTGGATTTTTTCAATTGACCAAATCCTTCCAGCCGCACCATGGCTCTGGGGTTGGCTCAGCCTTTAATAGAAATGAGTACCAGGAATATTCTTGGGGATAAAGGGCGGTTGGCGTGTAGGGCTGACAACCTTGCTGCCATCTACGAGCCGATTGTCTAGAAAATGTGGGAACCGCAACATCTCAACCCTATGGGCTTCCACGGCCTGTTACAGGGATACCTTTACTTTTACTTTTTTTACTGTGTTACCATAATACAGAGAGCTCAAAGTCTAATGTTCTTAACAACTATAGTGGCTTGTATTAATACGTTAAAATATTTTTGAATTACAATTAGTGTGTTTAAGAAGATTTTGTTAAAATTTTTTAAACCAAATTGCTTCGTGTCCTTTTTATTTCTTCTCTTTGAAGGAAGCCAAGCGTCTACCGCCTTGTGGTTCTGCTGTTTGGAGAACAGGATTATTTAGTGTCGTCCTGTTGATGTTCGAGGTGTGCTGTGTTGTTGTATAACAACAAAATCTTCTTAAACATACTACGTAATTCTAATTTATAAATATTTTAACATATTAGTACAAGCCACTAAAGTTGTTAAAAACAATAGATTTTTTACTCATGGTATTATGATAACATTGTATGTATAATAATGTTGTATTTTAGCGTCCTGTTGCACTGATTTTCATCCATGATATGTATGTAATAGCTTAGCGTAAATAACGAACATGAAGATGGCACCATGTTGCCGAAACATGTAGTAAGAAGTGACATATGAAATTGAGTGTACTACAAGGCGGCCATTACATACATATCATGTATGTATAGTATATTAATATTTAGAAAATACATTATAATAGTGGTTTCAAATTGTATTGATATCCTTCTGGAGATGGTCTATAGGACCGAAACATGTTAAGGATAAAATATTAAAAATGAGAAAAAACTTCATCATTCACACTGGACAGAATTAATTAACGTTTTATAAGTTCTTATACCATTCATATGTACAGATGCTCCGTAAGTCAAGCATTCAGGGATCAAGTATCACACATACTTTACACAGCTGAACAAGAATTTGGAAAGCAATGTTGAAACAGTGGGTTTTCATGGAATTTTCCTCAAATAATTAAGTATATGCCAAAGGAGGAAGATACAGAAGGAGATTTTAGTAAGACAGAAAAACTGTTATTAAACTCAATGAAAGGATAATGCAAGATTCCGAGAACCCACTGCTGCCAGCAGTAGGTGAAAGTGTTCAGAATTTATGATGACTGAAGTGAAGAAAAATCGGAAAATTTACTGCTTTAAATTCGGAAATTCCTAGAGTCAAAACTCAAGACAGGTTATAATGTGCACAGGGACACTTTGCAAACTGAGGACAGTATAACCTGCACAGCCAAAGTTTAAATGCTGAGGAACATGAGACTTAAAACAATGATAGATGAGGGAGTGTGTGAGGTATATGTTATTTCCATTATAATAATATCCACTAACTATGGACCCTATCCTGACTGAAGTTTGTCATGGTTTCCTTTAGTCCCACTTTGGAAGTGTTGGATTATATCTTAAAACAGATAATGACCTTTACTCACACTTGATGCTATATAACCTCTGCAGTAGAGATTATAGGTATGGCAACTCTGCATGAGAGGTACAAACTGCAGAAGTCAGTAAGACAAGTTTTTCTTTTTTAATACAGGTAATGCACAGCTATAAATATATGTTTTGTTCAAATATCATCGATATTATTGATTTTGAAAACAATATTCATACCAGTGTGGATCACAGGTGGATCTAACTAAACCTGTACAGAGAGCAAAGCAATTCCCCCATGAGTAGCATAACCCACGGGTCTGGGGCAGAACAAATAATACATATGTCATTCCACAGCGTATGTAGGCCTGGAGACTAAGAGACTCACCAATTTGTCATTTTGTAACTTCTTAGGGAAGAATGACTCATTAGCAAGTCACAGAGTCTGCAGACCAGGAATAAGAGCAACTTACCAATGTGTCATTCCATAACAGTGACTCATTAGCAAGTCTCAGCCTCAACAAGTTGAACCACCAATGGACTTCCTTCCACACACACACACACACACACACACACTTCAAAGTATTCATTTCCCTGCACAGTGACACAGTACATTATATAGGAACACACACTGAGGTAGTGTTGCAACACTCAGTACTTTTTTCTCTTCATGGAAACTGATGCCGGCAGCACATCCTCATCATTACAAAACTGGTCAGGGGCAGACCACCGTCGCTTACGGGGGTTCTCTGCTCTTTTGGTGTTCTTAGTCCGGGGTGTCAGGGATATACACACATCACCCACTTGCAGCTGGTGACATTTGAGTCCATAGCACTGAAGTGTCCGCTGTGGGTAGCAAGATGCCCACCCCTGGTCAAACACGAAGAATGGGTGCTCCAGCGCTGACTCAAACTCCACCTGTAGCAGCACAGCAACAGTCTACATGTGAATATGGAAAATGACAGAAAAATAAAAAGAGAGGAAGAAAGAATAGACGAAGTAAGTGTTGGATTTGAGGTTCTCACAGCAGTGGTTATGAAGGGATCAGTCTTCTGGGATGTCACTGAATTCAACTGAAGTTTTGAAGAGTAATTAAAAAATGAAGCCAGCATGAAGCAGACAGAAAGTTCTGCTTGCTGCTTTCTTGCCTGGTTTACTCTTCAAGGCAATATGTTGCCCTAAAATGACAGTTGACTGTCACCAGACTATATGACACTATATCACCAAAGACAGCTCTTCGGAAGAAGTAAAAACTGTAGGATGGCAAAGAGCAGAAGGGAATTATGGACAGGGAAGAGAAAATGAATAAAAGGAGAATATCAAGAAGGATGAAGGGAGTCAGTATATCCCAGTTAGTGACTAGGCTATGGATTGGATGACCAGGCAATTGAGGCTCAATTCCCAGGAGGGGCAGAGATTGCTGTTCTCTCTCCGACATTCAAACCAACTCCAGAGTCCACCCAGCCTATCCAATAGGTACCAGGGTCTCTTTCTCATGATGTTAAACTGACCACTCACTTCCATCCAGCACCAAGGTTACGAAAATGTGGAGCCACACCTCATCTCCCCATATATACTATACATGGCATGGTACTTAATTAAGCACAGGGTGAACTTTACCTTTTCTTCACCTTAAATAACAGTGTAGGGTCCTGCCTCAAGATGAACCAGAGTGTTTCACAATCAGTTAGTGACATACACCATTACACCATGATAGGAAAGCTATTAGATCCTTCTTTCATCATATTTCAGGTACTCATATGCTGGTGATACATTCAAACATGTTCTCCTAAATGGCAGTCGGTAAGTGTGGCTGATTTAAGTGCATTATAGCTGTGTACAATAATATTAAATAATATTGTCGCATGTTTCCTAGGTAACGTGACAAGAAAATTTACGTGGGTTTCAGATTTGTCAAAGACGTTTATTGGACAATCATGCTTTACACTCACAAATACAATTATTCACACTTATAATGCCTTCGGACGTTTTCTCTTCAGTGTTATGCACCCTCGCACCGCTAATCTCGGTGAAGTGTCTTCTGCTCCTCGCTCTTCAAAGCTGGACTGACTCCCGAGCTCTCGTCAAATATGAACTCTACACCTCTGTGTAGTATAAGATCAATACTAAGACTTTAAGATTACATGCTCGAAATATATACAAATATAAAAACGAACGTTAAGGAAACATACAGCACATAAATTTGCTTCAAAGTGGGAACAAGTTTTAGAAGCCCCGGGGCCTTCTTCATCACGTAGAAGTGCCCGCCCACAGGAGACCGCTACCCTGTTATTGCCACAAAGACAAGGGAAAAATAGCCAACTAAATTCGTGATAAATTAACAGAAATAACATGTGCACTGCTCCATCTTGTACGTTAACTTATTACAGATGCACCTTTTGGGAGTTTCATCATTGTAAGACAGTGTATGTAAATATTATTGTTGTATATTTCGCGAAGGTTGGTACTGAAATAGTTTACCTATAAATAATAGTCCATTGGACCACACGGGATACCTCGTCGGTCATACAGTATTTTTCTTCCGTACGGTTGCTTACACAACTTATGACACACTGGTGCCAGTACTGGTCCAACTTCTTCCTATATACGAGTATCAGGGACAGCGTGTTTGACTTTGCACGCAATTCGACACAGCGTTATCAAATAACCCACAAACCGAACTTTGGCACATATAACGTTGCATTTTACGTGCTTACCGCTTTGGACTTTGCTTTAATGTCGTCTCCTTGTCTTATTCATTTACTTATCTCTTTATTGTTTATTTCTTCTTCTCTCTGGCCCGTTCCCATTCAGAATTAATTCTAAAATTATGAATCTTATACGAGCAGACAGTCGGTGGCACTCCTTGGGCGGGGGATCAGCCTGTCGCGGATGTTAGGTGGCTCCCTTGTTACCACGGCATGGCGCGTCCTCAAGTTGCGAATGTTAGGTGGGTCCCTTGTCACCACGGCATGGCGCGTCCTCAAGTTGCGGATGTTAGGTGGGTCCCTTGTCACCACGGCATGGCGCGTCCTCAAATTGCGGAAGTTGGGTGGGTCCCTTGTCACCACGGCATGTCGCGTCCTCAAATTGCGGATGTTACGTGGGTCCCTTGTCACCACGGCATGGCGCGTCCTCAAATTGCGGATGTTAGGCGGGTCCCTTGTCACCACGGCATGACGTGTCCTCAAGTCGCGGATGTTACGTGGGTCCCTTGTCACCACGGCATGGCGCGTCCTCAAATTGCGGATGTTACGTGGGTCCCTTGTCACCACGGCATGGCGCGTCCTCAAATTGCGGATGTTAGGCGGGTCCCTTGTCACCACGGCATGACGTGTCCTCAAGTCGCGGATGTTACGTGGGTCCCTTGTCACCACGGCATGGCGCGTCCTCAAATTGCGGATGTTACGTGGGTCCCTTGTCACCACGGCATGGCGCGTCCTCAAATTGCGGATGTTAGGCGGGTCCCTTGTCACCACGGCATGACGTGTCCTCAAGTCGCGGATGTTACGTGGGTCCCTTGTCACCACGGCATGGCGCGTCCTCAAATTGCGGATGTTACGTGGGTCCCTTGTCACCACGGCATGGCGCGTCCTCAAATTGCGGATGTTAGGCGGGTCCCTTGTCACCACGGCATGACGTGTCCTCAAGTCGCGGATGTTACGTGGGTCCCTTGTCACCACGGCATGGCGCGTCCTCAAATTGCGGATGTTACGTGGGTCCCTTGTCACCACGGCATGGCGCGTCCTCAAATTGCGGATGTTAGGCGGGTCCCTTGTCACCACGGCATGACGTGTCCTCAAGTCGCGGATGTTACGTGGGTCCCTTGTCACCACGGCATGGCGCGTCCTCAAATTGCGGATGTTACGTGGGTCCCTTGTCACCACGGCATGGCGCGTCCTCAAATTGCGGATGTTAGGCGGGTCCCTTGTCACCACGGCATGACGTGTCCTCAAGTCGCGGATGTTACGTGGGTCCCTTGTCACCACGGCATGGCGCGTCCTCAAATTGCGGATGTTACGTGGGTCCCTTGTCACCACGGCATGGCGTGTCCTCAAGTCGCGGATGGGGGAGAAGCCCTTCAGGTATGGAGGGGAGTTACGAATATACTGAATAAGCAGTCGCCAACAGCCTACAAAGGGTGGTCTTCCAGTTTGCGAGTTCGGCGCGGAGCTAAAACACCTCATAAAAAAGTAAGCCTGTTACGAAAGATCACATGAAAACTCGGACCGGGACGGATTCTATGGATAAATGATTTAAGCGAAGAAAATGAACCTGAGATTCGGTACCTGGAACGTCAGAAGCATGTACAGGGCAGGTTCGCTCAGGGCAGTGGCGGATGAAATCTCAAATATAAGTTAGATTTAGCGGGAGTACAGGAGGTCAGTTGGGACGGAGGTGGCATCGCACAAGCAGGCTAATATACATTTCTCTACGGAAAGGGGAATGAAAATAATGAATTGGGTACAGTTTTTTTTTCGTACATAAGAGAATCGCATCAGCAGTTAAGAAGGTAGAGTTCGTTAGTGATAGGATATCATATATAATGCTGAAAGGTGTCTGGTGTGATATCATTGTTATGAATGTTCGCGCCCCAACAGAAGATAAAATTGATCACATAAAGGACAGGTTCTATGATGAACTAGAAGATGTATTTGATAAATTCCCGAAGTACCCTATGAAAATGTTGTTAGATGATTTCAATGCCAAAGTAGGGAGGAAAGACATTTTCAAACCAACTACTGGGAATGGGAGTTTGCATGAAATTAGTAATGATAATGGAGTTAGAGTAGTAAATTTGCCACATCGAAAAATTTTAATGTCAAAAGTACAAAGTTCCCACATCGTAACATCCATAAATTTACTTGGACATCTGATGGGAAGATACACAATCAAGTAGACCACATTTTGAAGGATAGGAGACGGCACTAAACTACACTTGATGTCCGATCATTCAGGGCAGCAGACTGTGATACTGACCACTGCCTGGTGGTGGCAAAGGTTAGGGAAACACTGGCGGTGAGCAAACAATGCACAGAGTTCATATGGAGAGGTTCAATCTCAAGAAATTAAATGAGGTAGAGGGTAAAGAGCAGTATCGTGTTGAAATCTCAAATAGGTTCGCGGCTTTGGAAAACTTGGACACTGAGGTGAATGTTAATAAAGCTTGGGAAATTAATACAGAGAATATAAAAATATCTGCCAAAGAGAGTCTAGATTATTATGAACTGAAGAACCATAAGCCATGGTTCGATGAAGGGTGCTCAAAATTACTAAACCAATGAAAGCAGGCCAAATTGCAATGGTTACAGGATCCAAGCGAAATAAATTGGGATAATCTGAACAATATAAGATGTGAAACCAGCAGGCATTTCAGGAACAAAAAGAGGGAATATCTGAAGGACAAAACTGATGAGCTTGCAGTGAGAGACCTGTAGAGAGGAATAAATGACTTTAAGAGAGGTGACCAGCCTAGCAGTAAATTAGTGAAGGATGAGAATGGTGATGTGCTTGCAGAGTCCCACATTTTGATTAGGTGGAGGAACTATTTCTCTCAGTTATAGAATGTACATAGGGTTAGTGATATTAGGCAGACAGAAATCCATACAGCTGAGCCGTTAGTACCTGATCCTAGCCCTTTTGAGGTTGAAAGTGCTATTGCAAAATTGAAAAGGGTATATAACGCCAGGTAGTGATCAAATTCCGGCAGAACTTTTTCAAGCAGGAGGCGAAATATTACATTATAGGATCCATGAGCTAATTACTTCTATCTGGCATAAAGAAAAATTGCATGATCAGTGGAAGGAATCTATTATTGTAGCAGTTCACAAGAAGGGCGATAAAACTGTGTAGTTATTATCGGGGGATATCACTGCTATCAACTTCGTACAAAATATTATCCAATATTCTACTCTCAA